CGACCCAAGCAGACGAGTACAACGTTCTCGCAAGGGTACAGCCCACAACTCCAAACAAAATGGTCTGGGCAGAAGTCACTCAAACGACCGCCGGACTGATTAAAGCCCCCGTAATGGCTGGAAGTCGACTGATGTGGCGCTCAACCGAATCGATCCGTGTGTTAAAACGCACACTACTACGACCGTTTGTTTGCACAGGATTCACTATCTCCAACACTGGAATAACCGTACAAGTATACAAAAATGCACAAACTGTGCACTTGCCCGTAACCGAACAACAACAACGAAACGCGTTGTTAGCGAATACTCGCACAAAACGGAATTTCGCAAAAAATTGTACCAACAATTTCTCACACACTCAAAAAAAAAAATCGAAAAAATCGCAACGATGCGCACGCACGTCTATTCGCTTCGGAATCCAAGCAACGAATCAATCCTACAATGGTAAACTTGACGAATCTCTCTTTCAGAAAACTCTCCAACCTTCCTTCATAGCTTCGGTATATCTGTGGAAAAGCTCGCTGCGCCGCTTCTCCAGTAAATTCTTCCCTCCAAATATCTCTCTTCGGTCAGCAGGAATATCCACTACGACACAGTTATCCAAGTTTTTAAGAATGTAGTCGAAAGGGGAGATAATTTCCACGTATCCTTGTTTAGACTCTTTCATATATTCAGGCTTCTTGGGCTTTAGAACCATCTTCGCAGGAATGTACCTGCCACTAATCTCAACGGATGCTAGGTGTAGAATGGAATTAAGTGCAATTGTTGGTGTAATTATAAATGCACCGGAGGTACCTCTGATAAAACCTATCACCTCTACTGCAGTATAAAGCAACCGATGCCTTCCTTACTATCAAATCTCTTCCAGTGACACTTCTTCAGCGGAATGGTTCAACGGAAAGTGAGTATCTAGGAGTAGCTTCAAAGACTACAGGCTGCTGACAGTCCAAATACCATCAGCATTTCTTAATACCCAAATGGAGTAGGATTTTTTGCGAGACTAAACCTTGGAGACTCATGACATCCCTCTACACTTCCGCTAAAGACTCTCCAAGAGGCTCTATTGATTTTCATTAACTCGGCTTTGGTTACGGTATAAACCAGTCCTACCATACACAGCGCCGAATAGTCACTAGAGCTACGGGCTTTGTTAAAAAGTCGTTTGCTAGAAGGTCTCACCTTCGTTAGCTCCGTTGTCTACCAAAGCGATTTCCTTTTATCCTTCTAAGTTGTCAGAGGACTGGAGCTTTCAAGAGTAGTGCTTCTGACAGAGCCGAATACATCGACATACAGTCGTACCGGTAAATAACATCAAGCCCTTGTCGGGGGTGGTTGGAAATGCTGATCCAAGTTTCCTGCAATACACCTTGCCGCGGTGTGTTTTGTTGGAACGTTAATGAACTATATACCAATATCCATGAAAGAAATTTTATTTATGGATAGACGTTCGTAAGCTAATTCATTCAATTACTCTATCGTTTTTTGGCTTGAGCGTGGTAATTTTGGAGTCAAGTATACTAACACAATGATAAATACTGTCCAAGTTTAATGGAATATTAAGGACTCCAGTGACAATCTTTTTGTTCCTGATAATATTTATTATGCTGAAATATTTGGGTGTGCCTTTAATGTGCTCATATAATTTTAATATTCTTTCAAAGCTTTTTTCCAAGAGCTATAATCTATTATCTAATAGGTGTTCTGAAAATTCTCCGAGGCAGCCTACTAGTTCTAGTACTTTATCTAGTTCGCTGATATTACCCCTATATTCACTATGATCACTACATCCGCAGGTCCGGCCCCACCATATATGTAGGTTTGGTAGGTAGAGTGGTTATCTTTTAGGAGGCCCATTGTGATAGCACCGGGACTTAAGCTCCCTCATTTAATTGTTTCCTCTTTATATGAGCAACTTCCGATACGTCGTTTAGAAACCTATGACCGATAGTTGCGATTCCTGTCCTATATAGACCCTTATACTTGTAGTCCCATAGAAGATGTATAATGGTCTTTTCCTCTTTTACTCCCTGAAAGCATCTACAATAGTCGGTATATGGCGTTCCTAGTCTCCTGGCCTGTCTGCCAATTAAACAGTGGCCTGTTAGTACTCCTACTAGAGTTCTTATATCGTTCCTTTTTAATTTTAAAGTCGGTGTGTGTGGCCTATGTTCCATTCATGCCACGTTTTCCTGATTGTTGAGCAAGTCAGGGATTGATTCCACCTTGATTCAGCTATGTTTAAAACATATTTGTCGATTAAACGTCTACAAGTAGCCAGAGGCATATAAATTCCATCTTTCCCATAGTCGAATTCCCAGTTTCCAGGGATATCACTATGCACAGGAACTCATTGCAGGTTTATTGGGATGTAGGATGTTAGATCCACCAAGATATCAAGGCATTTTTCACTATCTTAGACGAGACCCTTTGAGACTTTAGTGATCTCAATGCCGCCTGACTAGCTGTGTATATGAAAATATTTCTTGTTGTGAGCACACTTCTTGTCAGAACAAGGAAGCCTTCTTTATTTGCTGTGATCTCTGCTTGGAAGACACTGCAGTGGTCTGGTAGGCGGAAGGCGATTTTGGTATATAGCTTTGCAGAGAAGACACCGCCTGCCACTTTGTTATCTAGTGTGGAAGCATCCGTATAGATGCTTATTTCTGTGCCTTGTCCACTTCGTCTCTTTCCCACTCTTCTCTGGAAGGAAGTCAATATTGGTGAGCGTATTTAGATCCAGATCCATAGGATTACGAAAATTCGTGCTGATGGGAAGAAAAGTGAACTTTTGAAGTATCATAGAAATTCCCTTGTTGTTGGCGCTAAGTCGGTCTAAGGGGGGACTTCGCTGCGAATTGCTTACAGAACAGGTCTGTTGGCACTAAGTGTAGAATTACGTTTAGTGTCTGGCTTAGCATAGTTTTGAGAGATCTACTGATACAAATACTGGCTGCTCTTTTTTATCCATTATTGGCCACCATATCAATATACCGAAAGTCATGATCGGCCTTAGTTGCTAAGAGCCAATGAGACACTCGAGGTGTTAATTCCCATTTGGGTCTCACCGATCTTTTACACGTGTACCGCCCAAGTTTGGGTTCCATGAAAGCTTTCTGTCTAAAATTAGTCCCAAGTAGCTTGCCTTAGCTCCTAACCACGCGTCGTAATTTCTGGAATATCGTTTTTCATAGTGAACAATACTAGCTCTGTCTTTCCAGCATTCAAGTTTAGTCTGCACGATACGGCTCATCGATATATGTGATTAGGTTAGCGAGGGTATTTGGGAATTTACCTATAACCGATACTACCACATCGTCAGCATAGGCCATAACATGTACCCTCTTCTTTCCAAGGTCGAGCAACATTTTTTTCATTGTTAAGAGCCAGAGGGCGTACCCCTTCTGACAAATTTGCACATCGTTGAAGCTCCCAGATTGATATTATTGACTTGCGCGTTAGCATTAATTTACTGAGAGGCTCAGATATGCCCAAATCCTTAAGCGCGCCCATTATGGCATTAGCCTGGATGTTATTGAAAGCGCCTTCTATATCTAGTAAGGCTGCGAGAGAGTATTCTTTTATTTTCGGAAATTTTTCGATATCTGCTACCACTGAGCTTAATGCTGTTTCTGTGGATTTTCCCTTAGAATACGGATGTTGTGAAAATACTAGTTTCTCTGAGTTTAGACTGCATTTTATATGTATTTTACAAACTTTTCCAGGGTTTTTAATAGAAATGTGTGATATCTAATACTTTTTGTCGGTTTCTTATGATAAATGTTCATACTAGCTCTGTTGCACAACAAAAGCTTAGCTTCTAGCAAGTATTTAAAGAGACTTTCACCTTTATCCTTGACGTCTGTGCTGTCCCAGATGGTGTGGTGCGCGTTTGTGTCACATCCAAGTATAATCATGCACTTGGATGCCTCGCTGTCTCGGATGCCAACTCTTTTACTAGCTGAGATGGTACTTGCTCCTCATCGTATGGTATATAACCTGACACCAGCCGGAAACAATTCCCGCCCGTCACCCATATTACTGCTGCCGTGTCATGGGTACTATAACGGTGTAACATAAAAACGTTAAGGATTTTCTTTGCCATTATACATGCCTTGACCTTACCTTCACAATTTGCCATAATTCTATTGCTTATAGTTTGTCCTCAGTCCGCAAATGCGCACTTCATTAACCCATGGCTCCTGAATGAGGAAAAAGTCAGGCTGATCTATTGCAACGATGTTAATTAGGGCTACTGAAGTTAGTTTGCTGTGATGGAGATTCATTTGTAGAAGACGCATTAACAATTGTTATATAGAGTGCGACCCATCTCTCTTTGTCGCAGCTATAATTTTTTTTCCACGCCAGCTGCCCAATATCTCTTAAGTTGGATCATTGAGAGTCGTTGAATATATACCGTCTTATCCGACCAAAGATTGGGCATTCGGAAATATAATGGCCTAGCATCCTCCTCGCATGCTCTGTATTCCATCGACTTCACTTTTTCAAATTTCTGGGGATCTTAAGGGTAGGTGCCCTGTGATAACCTCTACAATATTACTAAGTTCGCTTCTGTCTAGATTCGAAATAGAAACTTAGTGGTCTGTCCATCATCATTACTACTTCAAAGTAACTTTGTGGTATGGTTTGTGTTGGTAATGTTCTAAGACCTGGGGTCCATTGCTTCAAATAACCCTTGAAGAAGCTAAATGGTCTGTGCAGCTTAGGGTTTTGGGTAACCAGATGATATTAACAGGAGTTACCTACTGAGAGTCTCGTTATTGTCTGTTTGCATAACCTAAAATATTGAGACTTACTATTGGAGCAACGGAAGTTGGAAGCTGCTCCTCTGTCTTTTTCACCCTTTTATCCATCGGTTTATATGTAGATTTCACCGTTGCAACTGCCGATCACAGAACCATTGATCCATTCTTCTGTTCTCGGGAACTTAAACGTTATGGAAGCATTGCCTCATTCTTCATTTAAATATGTATTGGGCGGGTGTCGAGAATAACCTCCAGAGCCTTTGTTGATGTAGTTTTCATTACGCCCGTAATCCCCAGCCAGCAGGCTCGTTGCACCTGTTCCAGGGGTATAATGTGGCACTTCTTCGATTTTGCGATCCCCCACACCATATATTAGTATCGGACGGAGGACACTTGTGTAGATGGGGTCGTAAACAGTACTATGAAACCACGTAGAAGACGGTCTTTCGTTATTAGCATTATCCCTGTCAAGTAGAAGTTATAATTCATTGTCCCAAGGTGTCCCAAGAAAGGGGACCCCTACTTGCGGGGTGCAACAAGTGATATGGTGAACTGTTTAATTAAAAAAATTATGAAAACATGTGCAAAAGGAGACCTTAATTACTAAGATATTTTTTTTTATCTTGGCAATCAAGTAACGTTTTTATTTCTTCATAGAAGCGATCATGAATCTACTATCTTCCAACATCTACCCCAACAGAAATTAATGTTTTTATTGATATGCCTTGGTTTTAAAGCAATTATCATACCAAAAATAAATAAATTATATTACACAGATAAGGAATATTGGGGTCGCTAAAATATCGGCTAAATATAAAGACAACTGCTTGATAGCAACTCATAAATTTCATTCTAATTTTGTGATAATTGTACCTTTGACAACTTCAACAGAAATCAATATTCAGGTATTCTTTTAGGAAATATAAAGGCACATGCAAATATAAATTAACTACAAAGATTCACATTTATACATATGTACCTATAATAGACGTTATGCATACATAAATGCACAACGAGCTTTCAGATATTATTTTCAATCAGCTATAGTAGAGAATCTTATATGTGAGAGACACATATTCTAAGGTCATTGTTGAGAGTATTAATCTATAGTGTATTTGGTTATTTGATTGGTGATACAGCGAACAAGTTTTTTGTAATATTTAAAAGCGCGTTCCTTTTGACCAATGTTCTCAGTAGCCATTTACATACATTTGTATACGTACTATTGTTACAATAAGAAGCAGTCTTAAATATACTCAATATAAAACGCGCGTTTATTTATAAAGGTAATAAAATATATCTAATGACTGTTGTGATGAAAATATTCAGAAATCAATAGTGAAATAACTAAATAAGTAATAATAATAGTACTTAAATTGTGAAAATATTCGTCTTTTCTAAGTGAAATTAAATTAATATAAGTTTTTGTAACATAGTGACGTAATGAAATTTTCTCATTAGTGCAAGTTATATGTGTATTTGGTAAATAAATATAAAATGCTGAGCTCATTTGCTTTAATAAGCTTGAAAATATATACTTATATATGTATGTATATCCACATATGCATATGTTCAAAAACGTATAGGGGCGCGTTGAGTTATTTTCACAATAATAAACAAACATAAAATATTGAAATACTAATAATAATAATAACTAATAATCATATTAATTATTGGAATCTTCACTTAAAATCATTTTTTTTAAAAAAGATATTAAAATACAAATAGCTGCTTAATTTAACTTGATTAGTGCAAAATTGTAAATATACAGATATGTACATAAGTATAGAACACAGTTTATTTTGAAATAGTAAATTACCAGCCATAATGATATTACATACGTACTTTAGGAGATATACATACATAGATAGTTTAACATAGTGCCATTTACCACATATTCTTTCAATTATGTTTGGATTGACAATAAAAAAATTATTAAGCCTTTTTCTTCTAAGGTTGAAAACCTGCGCCCGAAATGAAAAAATACTGTTGTTGGTACGAAATAAATTTTTTGATTTAATATAATATCCCTTAACTTCAATACACTTATTCCAATGATCTTCCAATTATTTTATGCCATCCCTATAATGACTTTCCGGAAGCTCTGCAAAATACCCGTCTACGGCTGTAATAGCTTCTTCATTCATGAAAAACGCTTTCAACGGAGGAATCGTTTCAGGTTTCTGAAGAGGTAATAGTCGCTGGCAGCCAATTCTGGTGAATACAGTGGATGCTTACGCAATTCGTACTTTAATTCGTTGAATTTTGTCAGTATTAAAACACCTTTGTGAGCAGATGTATTTTCTACCCCAAAATTTAACTTAGCGTTTTGAAGGTGAGAACTCCTTAAACCCTTCAAACAATTGTTCAAAAATTTCCTTTGCTTTTAAACCTTTCAAAACATAGAATTTAATCACTGCGCGTTATTCAATTTTTTCCATATTAAAAAAATACTCTGATTCGTCAAATTCAATGTTCTCACTATTGTTCAACTTGGATATGTTCTCCCGTCAGATGAAAACAATTTTAAACTAATTGTGCTATTTCTTGGTGAGGCCAGTAACTCTTCAACCAACTTGTACTCCAGAATCTTAGACGATCATTCAAATTTGAATATTTCATTCATATGTTAGATATATGTTGGTAAGACAATAGTAATTTAAAGAGATTGAGAGTCTATAACCAGAAACTAGAAGGTATCACCCCTTTGAAAAATTATATAAAACCTTTTACGATTATACATTTTATGAAAACGTTGTCTTATAATGGTATATCAACCATTTGAACTGCAATCCCTTCAATGTATAAAAACAGCATAAAAGAAAATATATATTAATATAACAAAGATTACCAAAAAAGTTCTATTATAATAAACGAATAAAAGTAGTCTTGTTCTATTTATACTTTCATTACCATTTATTAAAATATCAAATTTTTTCCTAAAATCACTTTCCAAAATAAAGTAAAATAGACTAAAGGTACATAAATGAAGTTAAATAGAAGGATGTTATTAAAGTAGAGATACATATTATTGACGTGAGGTATGTTTTTTCCATACTTTATTAATTTCTAATAGGAAATTAATCTATGTGCGTAAGTAAGTAAAAAGCTTAATATCTGGCTCTATTTCTAAGTAAATTAATACGTTTTTATTCCTTTTAGTTTCGTGATAAAAAACAATTAAAGGAAATTCCTCTTTGAAAGTGATTGAACAAAATTTAGCTCAATCTCAAATACAAGTAGCTGTCCTCACTCCTTTTGAAGAATATTTAAGTATATATATACAAACATATATGTATTATATTACAATATTATTATAAATATATTATTTACACATCAATTCCATTTCTCCCTTCCTTCCTTATCGCATGTTTCAATCTTTTGGCTATAGGCGTCTAAAAGTTAAAGTGGTATAAATATACGATAGCCGTGTTTGGTTCGCCATTTCTCTATTTATCGATATCTTCGAGTGCTACGCTGTTGTCAAAAATTTTCTAGAAAGCAAAGCCATAACAAAGTTAGTTATCTGCAACCATCTTTGGTGCAGAAGAACACAGTAAGTGGTATGCAAACAATCAAAGCTATAACAAAATAACTTAATGCAAGCAATTATCTTTAGCATTTCATGGCACAGAATAAAGTTAGGTAATAATAACCTACTTAACTAACTTTAACGGTCTTAAGAAAAACAACAGAAGCATTAAAATCAAGCATAAAACTATACCATCTGTTGTATGGAACCCTAACTACCAAATCCATTCTGACAAGTTAGAGTCTGTTCAAAAAGAATTTTTACTTTTCGCCTTAGCGAATTTCCGATGGGATTCTAGGGTAAGTCTACCTCCATACATTAGTCGCTTATTAATCTACCTACACTTTCTAGTCGTAGGAAAATGCTTGGCATAATATTCTTAGTGAAAATCTTGAATGGAACAGTTTGCAGTTCTTTTCTCCTGTCTGAAATTAAATTTAATATCCCGATTCGCTTTTCGAGGCAGTTTAGACCTTTACTGTTGAAATCCTGTAGATCAAATTTTGAACTAAACGAGCCATTCCGTCGTATATCTCATGATTTTAATTCTCATTCCAGCACATTTGACTTATCTGACTCACTTTTTAAAATGAAAAAGACTATTGTTTCTCTTAATGAATGAAAATGTAACAATTTATTATATTGTAACTATAAATCTTGGCTGTTGAAATTTTTGTTTCTGTAGCTGAGCAGTTTTAGATCTCAACACTTAAAAAACTCTCTTACCTTTTCTGACTCGGCTAATTCCGCAGGTATGCGGATTGCGCGCCTCGCGTCGGTTTTGCGGGAGGATTACCCAATCGTTAGGTTATTATTGTTATTATCTAAAACGTCTGGTGCGTGAAATGCTAATATTATGAAAACAGACTTAATAAAATGAATATATACTATGAAAATATATATTATGAAAACAGACTTAATATAATAAATTGAGTGATTTCTGTAAATTTGGTTAATTTACAGAAAGATATTTCTGGTATAAAGTAAAATATAGTATTGAAATCAAGAAAGCATGGATCGTCTGTACTCGAGACACAATTTCATATAATAACGAATATTGAAATAATATACAACTCATTTTATACTCTCGCAAAATGTTACACAGAGTATAATAGTTTTGTGCACCTAACGGTGGTTTGTAATACCTAAAACTTATTGAAATAGATATAGGATTGCACATACAAAAATAAATATCAAGATGACGAATTCCGAAAATCTGTCTGTCCATACAAGGCTTAACTTGGGTTTAAGTTCAAATATCTAGATGGAACTTGGAACACGTGTTCCTTGTTGAAGTTATTTAAAATATACTTACTGAATCTACCAACTCTTCCTGTTTCTACAATTGATAGGACTTCCAATATGAGGCATCCTCGAGGCATAAAATTAAAAAATGAGCACACTCCGAGGGACGAACCCGTTGAATCTCGCCCCAATCCAATAGGACATCAAATGTAAGACATCTACGTTGATTGTTATTCTTGAAAATACCACATAAAAAATAGTTGAATATAAATTTATAGTTGTACACAAAATTTTGTGAACTTACCTTTCAATAAGTTCAAGAAATGAATAGGGAGGTTGGTTTGTTTGGGAAATTAAAAATTACTTAAAAAGGAAATATCCCTAAAGGGGTCGAGCCCGATTTAATTTTGCGCAGTTTTGACGAGAGAGTACAAACGTTTTGAAAAAAATCATTAATTATATTTTTTTGTATTTGTAAATTTCTAATTGTAAAATACATAGGAGATCTAAAAATAAACATTAATTTTGTAACGACATTCCAAGAAATTTCTTCCTTCAAATGTTTTAGCTGTAATTAAATAACTATGCGCCCGTCTATTTGGTTATAAAAAATACCATATTAATGTATCTAAGATTTATTTATTTAATTCTGAAATCTATCTACAGGTCAATTTACATTACAATGGTTGGTTAAAGGATTTATCCTAAAAATTTCCTTCCGAAGTTCATTAAACTTATACTGATTTACAAGTGTATATAAATCATTTTAAAATAATTTAATGATATCTACGGTGTAATAACAAACTTTACATAATTTCAGTTGACTATCACATGATTCATGCCGTTTAGCTAAATTATCAATGATTTAATTGAATTCAACTTATCTGACTATTCCGCAATGCGATCGAGATAATTATATCGCGGATATTCAAATCTAAACTTGATTTGTGATAAATTAGCAATTTTAATATGATTGTATTGTTACATTGTATTGTTTAGTTTATATTGAATTTGCTATTATAATTGAATTTTTCTATCATATTCTGTGCTATACACACTTATTTTAATTTATGAAGTATTTCGCAGTGATATTCTATATAAAGGGTGATTTTTAGACATGTTGTTTTCAAGAAGAAATAAAAGGCCTATAACTTTATGTTATGGTCAAGAATTTTGCTTTATCATAAAGATAAGGGCAAGTCACTGCTGCGGCTGGCTCGAATAAATTCCAGTCGAGAGGCCACAAAAAAGAGCTAGCGGTTAATCCAAGATCCAAGAGGCCGCGAAAGAATCCCACGACGCGAGATAATGCGCTCACCAAAAGTTTCCTTCAATTAATGGACTGTTTCCTGTTTTCTTAGCTGTATGGCATGTAGCCCGTCTAGTTGGAACTAAAGGTCGTCCACATTAACATCCTCCGATTCAGGCACGAAAAAATCATTAATCATGGATCTGTAGCGTTACCCGTTGACTGTAACATTATGGCCCCATTTTTGAAAAAATATGGACTCATGATTCCCTCTGCTCATAGATTCTTTCACTTTACGATATAGAAATCAGTTACGGAAATTGAATGATAAGGAATACTAAGTTGTACTGAATACTCACTGTACTGACAATTTTATTTTCTTGCAATTATTTTTAGTAGAAGATAATAAAGGTTGGAAATATTGCTAGGATAAAAAATCCGGTAGATTTTTCCATTTAAGTTATATGTTATTTCAGTGTAAGTTTAATAAAGTTCATAATTAATCCCAAAATAATTTGGAATATGTAAAATAATAATAACAACTCTAACCCACTTATATTGCAGATATGAGATTCCTGTTGGCTACCATCTTAGTGTTATGTTTGCAAATATGTGTTCAAAGTCAGGATGATTACTGCTTCGGAAAAGACACGGAAAGACCTCAGACACGCCATTTCACATCGAAAACAGCTTATCAGATAATTAAGGGAACGAATATTGAAAAAGAATACTTGGTTCCAGGTGTGAATTTATATTTTTTCATCTGCTCACTTATTTATTATACATCAATTATTATATATATGTATGTATTTGGTACCAAAATAAGTTTTCTTCAAGTTCTAAAGAAAAAGCAGGAAACAATTTTTCAAATCCACAAATTTCTCTCTTTTTATCATTTTTATTGCATTATTAAAAGTTTATCGATTTATACACCTAACCGTTTTTTGTAACAACTTAAAATTATGGGCGGATTTATTCGTCGTGTTTTTAGATAAGTCAATTTTCATAAGCTCACATTAACAACACTAAAAATTATTTCAATCAATTCAGATGAGGGTAAGTTTATAATTTTGATGAAGATGCAAATTTTATTTATTTTTCAGTTTTTCCATATCAAAATTACTCAAAAAAAGCATATTTTAAACACATTATATTTAATTTTATAATACCATTTTATTCAGTGTTCCAAATAATGATATATGACATAACTTATTATTAATGATACTTTTTTATATTTTGTAATCCCAAAAATCTTAATTAAAAATATATTTCAAGTTTCAATCCCAAATAGCCGATAGAAAAATTAAAAATGAATTAAATAATGTATAATAACGACTGACTTTAATTCAATGTGTACAAAAGCGTTATAATGTATGAATGATAAAAAGAAAGTAAAAGAATAGTTTACAGAGTTGTAAGAGGCACAAATACGAGTATGTAATTTTAATTACATGTTCATTTAATATTATTTACGTCAAACTACGTCGCCCCCACTTCTCTCAAAGAAGAATGTTCATTCTTCTGAGTTGCGTGATGCTTCTGCAGTTCGCTGTATTTTGCTGCTATGCTTCGTCAAACCTTTTAAGCCGACAGGTTGACCACGTTGAATTTTCTTCAACACGCTCGTAAGTAAGTTTGGAACATCCATATACATATTTTCGTCTATATCACTATTTACATTTAAATTTCTTTAATTTAAATGCTTTAATTTTCGCTTTATATTGTTTGAAAACGTTAAGCATGTTTGGTTTTTGCTTTAGGAAAAATACCTCAAACCACCGCGACTTTTACTATTACGCTATTTTGATTCACTTTCAAAAATATTTGTTTTCGCACTCATGAGATATACAAACACCATCTTATATTTTAGCAGGGGCTGTAAATGCGACTCATATACTTCGAGAACTTTTACACGAATAACTTTCGACTTCGATAATTTGTCTCGCCTTTCAACTGCCACGTAAGGGTCTCCACCGATGTTGGCAGATTATACAACAAAAAAATGTCTATTCTTTCGGCTTCGCTACATCGAACAATGTATTGAGATATTCTCGAACGCTACAATGCTACACGTTTAAATAGCGTCTCTCTCCTAGCTGAACTTAAAATTTCGATTCCAATTTCGACCAAACTTCACGTGGTACCTTTTCTCAGCAATTTTCCACTCCCGGAGCTTTGTCTTATATGTATACAGATAGTAATATTATATTAATAATTAGTCTTTTCTAGCTAATAATGTATTTTTTGACTTACAAGTTATCTGTCAAGTCATTTGTCAAAATTTTAATTTTTCTACCTCTTGGAACACAGGCTTATTTGATTTCCAGAATATCACGATACAGTTGTATTTATTATTTGCCTGCTCAACTACGTTTTTTAAATAGTATAAGCAGAGAATATTAATAAATAGAGTACAATTGTTAGCAGTTCTAAAATGTAAGTTGTTATGAGGGAACATCGAAAAAGCACAATTTCGAAAATGAAATTACACCACGTCATGAAGAAACATTCAACACTATATAAGGGAACTCAACGATCTTCACCACTCTATAAGGGAACCGAGCAAAATGTATGCGATGTTCTTTGACATGCGTATGAACGAAAATTAAAATAAGAAAAATAAATTTATTTACAATGTCATTTAATAAAAAAAGGTTATAAAAAAGAGAATTAAAAATATCTGTAATAAGATTTGAACACAGGAAAAATATTTGATGTTGCAATAAGGAAATCTGCTATACACACAGCAGATAATATTTGAATGGAATAGTCAAATGTATGAACTCAAACAGCTATCAATTTTAGTTGCTTCAAATGACCAATTTGTATTTATGTAAGGAAGGCGCGTCTGCTACAAAGCAGGGATGGTATTTGATAATTTTCAACTGTGCCGAATTTATTGTGCGGAAATTTAGTTGAGTCTTTATTTAACGAAAATTAAAAACACTGCATTTTTCAACGTCACAGCTTATTTGGTCCAGTTATAATATGAATTATTTAAAATGGGATAACATTTTTTCAAAATACTAATAGCTGGTATGTCCTCCCTTTTGATTTACCACCCCTTTGAGGCGGTTTAGGATAGATTCCACTAACTTCTTCGTAGTTGTATGTCGTATTTTAGCCCATTCCTAAATTAAGGCGAGTTTTAAGTTATTTTTGTTTGAAATGTTGCGTTTTCGAATGTTGCTATCTAAAATAGCCCACATATTCAATAACATTTAAATCGGGTGATTGTGCGGGCGGTTTCATTACGTGAGGATATATGAGACACGTTTGAACAATTCCCGAAGTGTGCTTTCGATCATGGTAAAAGTGAAAAGTGGACTCTATACCCAATACCTAAGCACTTTGGATCAAGTAGTCCTTAAGAATTTAATAGATAAAGCATTTTATCCATTGTACTTTCGATAAATTGGAGTCCTCCCTACAAGCCCATACCATCACATGGCCCCCTTGTTTTTAGTGGCTTTTCCTGCAGCTCCGTATTTGATTTCCGGCGAACGTAAGATCGGAAGCCGGACCCAAACATGTTAAATTTTTACTCATCAGCAAATATAACATACTTCCAGAACCCAGCGTGCCTTTTGATGTGCTTCTTTGCGAATTTTAGCCGGATATCTTTGTTTTTCTTACTGAGAAATGGTTTCTTGCATGCAACTATAATGTCCTGAATTTTTATAGCCAAATTTGGTGCCGATATCCTTGCGCTTTTCTATATTTTTTAAATAACAAATCGTTCATCCGATGGACTGGAAATTTAGTTTGAAGTGATTTTCTGGCAATAAATTTCATCTTTGTAGGACTGAAGACCCATTCTCGTTGTTCAATGGTTGTGCGTTCTCCCATCGTCATAACACGTGCTTTATTGATGAAGGGGAACTAATAGTGTCAATTATATTTGTGAATATATTATTCAAAGCATGCCTCAAAATTAACCGTTATCTTAATGTCTTGGCTGTAAATTGCATATAATGAGTCGAATAAGATGCGATGTTGAAAAACGAAGTAATTTTTGTTTGCGTTAATTAAAGACGAAACTCTTGTTCCAAATAAAAAAACAGAATAGAAGTGTTAAATTCAATCTCAATAAATAACTTTGCATTTCAATTTCGTCAATTTCTCTTATAGTTTAAAAGATATGTCAATTTGAACATGTAAATATGAAATGGTGGATTTTGGTCTTTCGTCATGTAGTGTAGACTAAAGTTGAAAGGGCGGAAAAATGCACAATATGCGTACTTTTCTATCACTGGAAATTGGAGAATTTGTCTGATGATCCCTTCAGAAAATAAAATTGGCAACATGGCGTATTAGCGACTTAAAGTAATTATTTTAATTTATTTCATATTATGCACTATATATGGCATTAAATTTTAAAATGTATATAAAGTTACCATTCTTATGAAATCTTTAATTATTTCTATGCGTTCTAAGCACATCTATGCGGATTTTATATGTTTACTCATTACCACTATTTCATAGTTTTTCGATCATTTTATAAAGATACAACGCTGTGAAAATGCAACCCAATCGTTAATCACATTACTTCAATAATAAAGCACTGCAAAAAGAACAAAGGTGACAATATAGCCGACATTGTCGCACAACTCGGCGTCAATGTGTATGCGAGCTCGTATGTTTGTCAACAAAGTTATAATTTTTTTTGTTCAACGCTTCGTCAGAACTCAATTTTTTACCAACAACACAATGTTACTCCGCGTTACTTTCATAACATGCCACCATGATTAGAGGCGTTTCATCTAAGGCTGTACTATTAATGATAGTACCTCCCTGACCCTCCATGCGGTTTGTATGGAATACAATAATATTTACGTAATAATATAAATACACACAAATTCATACTAAGTTTAAAATTTTTGAAATAAAATCCCCTTAATATAAGTAGCTAAAATAATAATGTGTCAGTGCGTTCCTTGACCCCTATTTGCTTTCAATCCTTCAACTTGCTGCATTCTAACTGTTCTCGCATAAAAGCAAAGAAGCATTATTTGCGAGGGGCAAGAAGAAGTAAACACTAGCGTATGTCTATTTATAAAAGTATGTATTGTATATGTGGTTGTCATATTTGTGTACATACTTGTACGCATAAATAAGGGATCATTTAATAAACATATGAACATAATTTTCTGAAATAATTAAAATATAAAATCTAAGTAAGTAAAATACGACACTAAAGTAACTAAATTGAAATCTGCAATTAACAAATTAAAAGGGAAAATAAAATTTAAGGTTCATGATTTTCAGGCTTAGAACGTAAATGCTCGTATTCGCATTAAACTTAACTCCTTCACATATGTGGAATCCTGACAGCTTTAGCAACTGTTTTATTGTTATCCTTTGAGATATTGTTCACGGAACGTACATAAATGTGTTGAAGAATTTATTTATTAAATGCTTATTTTATTCTGCGATTTTACCAATAATCCTCCTTTTTAATTCAAGAGATTATTTGTAAATGAAATTGAAAACACAATAACAAATAGGTATACGCATCGATAATTTATTTAAGAACTTTCGTTGTGTCTAATTATAGCCTTTTCCACGTTTACTACATTGCATGGTGTATGTTTACTACACTATTAATCAAAATGTTATTATCAGGTGTAATCGCAGATGCAACTGGTGTATAGGGTACAGTAGGACAAAGAATATATCGCTGTGTGGTACTACTTTGTAGACGCAACTATTAAAAGAATTTTAAAATGAAGATGAATGACAAATTTCCTTATCAGTAATCTGTTACTTATTTGTTTCCACAATTGCCAACAAAAAAGTGTCCTTGTTTCTCGACGTTCCTATTTTCTGATCAAGAGCTCTTTGTTAAATTCCGTATATTAAGAATTGAGATTACATTTGAATGCTTACATCCACTTATATAATATTTACTACTAATTTCTAATAGCTGATAAGTATTTCTATTTGCTGATAAATATTGTTTGATGAGTGTTTACATATGCTTACATCTATTTATACTAAATATTTTTAATAGCTGATAAGTATTTCTATTTGCTGATAAATATTGTTTAGTGTTTATATATTCTGTTACTGAATTTCTGTATAATGTTATCATGTTCTTATCGTCACTTATATTAGGGAACTTAATATGTTTGCTTTTGGTTGGATATTGTTTATCGCTATTTGTGTTTGGAAACAAAAATTGTTGCTTGTATATATGTATGTTTATACATATACTAACGTCCTTAACTCTTCCTGATGTTTAACATCTTAAACACAATACGGGCGACGACGAATATTCGTCGTACTCGGCGACGCCGTCGGACGGATTTTCGCCGAGTGTTGTCGCCGTGTAAAACACAATACGGACGATTTTCGTCTCAGCTAGTGTATATTCAGCGCTCAAAAATATCACAATAAATGACGAAACCAAACATAAACAATCTTAATATTGCCAACACAGACATTTTCTTAAATTTTTTTTTAAAATCATTAGTATTTTTACTGAAAATAATCTTTCTTTGATATGGTGATGCCATTTTTGCGGCCGCGGTCGGCGATAAAATTAGAAATAGCTCTATTTGAAAAATCGTCATGGTGGGCGAAATCCGCCGCCGTCGCATACTGTGTTAATCTTCATATACAATCGTGTGTTCGAATCACCGACGGTATCGCCGAGTACGACGAATATTCGCCGTCGCCCGTATTGTGTTTATGCTAGTAGTCGGAGGAGCTCGTCTTCATATGCTCTCTCGAATAATGAGCGTCTCTTGTTTTCGTCGACATTGTCTTAATTTTATATATAAGTAAATTGTTAAAATAAAAATAATTATGAAGAATGCAAACTCTACTGGATGTTCTTCTATAGGTATAGCGTATTTATATAATTTTTGAATATTATTAAATTTATAATTTGCGTTTGATTCTAATATTTGCAAAACTTCTACATCTCGTTATGATGTTCATGAATTGCATTTTTAATTTCTTCTTCGTGATTCACATATGTTTTATTATCTATACTTGTAGAGATTTCAAATTGTATTAAATGTGGTCCTCTTACTTTTAAACCGTTCCAAATATGTTCACTAGTTATTACAATATTGCTGTGGTCTACAATTTGTATTTCAATATTATTTTCTTGTATTAAGTTACATTGGGCTTTTTGATTTGATAACAGTGGAATGGTGATATTATCTTTTAATTTTTGTTTATAAATATTCGTGCCTACGTTACTTTTGCATTTTGATACATAAAAAATTCTTTCTTACTTTTCAAAACCTTTTGTTTCAATTCATACTTGTCTTGTTCAAAAGCTAAAGGAATCAGTTGGTATAGTTGGCATTTATTTGAAATAACAGGATATTTATATATGGTTATTACTGGGGAACATTATATATTTCATTGTGGATTACTTCATTTATTTCTTTTAAATTTAACATGCTTGAATAAAAGTTTCATAACCTTGCACAATTTATTGTATTCGTTATATTTTCTAATTCTTTAAGGACTTCTGTCATAATTAATCTCTCCATAATTGATTCAGGATCGAGGGTTTCAAGTATATTTTCGAATCGTTGATGTTAAACATATACACCGTGTCAGATTCAGTAAGCACAAATTTTTTACCATTTAAATCCGTTATTTTCTCCCAAGAACAATATGAAAAAATAAGTAATATTTTAAATCCGGTCGCTTTTATGTTGATACCTTCCTGATACTATCCTTATATATATAACCTTCCCTTTTACTGTCAAAATCGTGTCCCCTCGATCTTCCTTTACTTGATGTTTGTTGTACTTTGCCGAAGTTTTATTCCGTCGATCTGTCCGACTGTAAATTATATCGCCCTCTTCGTAAGAAATAATTTGCCGATTGCTATTATGGTACTTTAAAGTTGGTTCTGCTTCTGCTCAAGTGCTTCACGGATGTCGGGATATTTCTCGCGATAAAAAACACGTCCTCAGGTTTATATCCTGTACTAGAGTGAATGGTTTTATTATATTGACGTACCGCATTAAATATTCTGTCCCCTGGTGCTGTTTTATTTTCAGCTGCTAGGCTTTGTATGATTTCAACAAGTGTGCTGTGCACCCGTTCAATCTGAGCGTTTGACGTAGAATGGTGTATTGGTCAACTGTATAACGATTTGGCCATACAAGTATAACTAAAGAATACGCTCTCATTATCAGTCATAGATTATACTTTTATTAAAACTTCCCCAATATAAAACAAAATTTCTAGTATCTGTCTATTGAACTAAGTAAAATATTGTTGTTCATGTGAAATATGTCACTTTTTATGTGTTCTCCTACTTTTGTTGGTATTGGTTTCCTATAGATTGTTTGTTCGGTTGACTCTCATATTTATGTAAAAGGCATATTTCGTTGTTTGTTTCGTGTGTTTGTCTCGGCTCTGCACATTTGCTTTAGGTTTGGCCAGTAGTAGTTTAAAAGTATCTCTTAGGCGTTGTTTTTGTAATTTTTAAGGGCACTTCTGTGAGTTTGTATAGCAATCTCTTTCGTTTATATGAATTCACAATATCATCAAGAAGTTTTTGTGCTTGTACAAATGTACAATTTGGAAATGTATGAATAATATCTTTTCCGAAGTGAAAAATTTCTTTATTTTCTACCCTTAAAGAATTTGTAACGCTTGGCATTGCAATATATCGTATCCCTAAAATGTTCAGGAAATATTGTTTTACCTGTTTCAATATTTCTATTGGTGAGCTTTGTGCAGAATGATCGGAGCAAGTGGTTTACTTGTTGTCGAGCAAGTGCATCTGCTACAACATTTTGATGGCCTGGCTTGTAAACTAATTTTGTTCCATATTCTTCTATTAAATTTTTCTATCTTTTTGGTTTTCTGTTTAGTTTATTTTCAGACATAGAATATATTACTAACTGGTGGTCTGTATAGATTGTTAAAACGGCCACTCCGTATAGATAATTTCAAAATTTTTGGAGTGCCCACACTATAGCTAAAAGTTTTTTCATTGGTAATATAACCTTGTTCGGTAAAGCTTAGAATTCTGGAAATAAAAGCGATTCTATTCTGTACAAGTACAACTCACATAGCGAAATTTCTTGTGTCAGTCGTAAGTTCAAAAAGTTTTGAAAAATCTGGTTGATACAATTCTACCTGCGCTTGTAATTCTAATTTAATTTTTTCAAAGGCCGCTTCGTCCATTTTTTATTCATATTTTCGCGCTTCTGTTTTTTACCATACCTGGTATGTATCCAATAAAACTGTCACTGGTTTGCCCCGTAATGCCACATTTTGTCACAATACATGGCAACCCTTATATACGCCTAAAAAAGTATTTCCTGTTTGTATTTTTCTTCAAAATTTTCTAGGTCTTCCACTTTGTTTTCTTCTTCGACTGTCCGATTTATCCTCTGTACTTTTTGAGAATTATATATTTTGATATGACGGCACTCTTTCTCTTTTAAATTGTTTACTTTATTTGATATTATAACCACTATACATACCATTCTAAGTTGTCCGGACAAATTGACGTGAATTGTCAACCTGCATGGGATTTAGATCTGGACTTTGAGCAGGCGTTTTAATTACTCCAGGGCAATTGTATAAAAGCCAAAGCTTTGTATTTAATGCGGAATGCTTCGGGTCGTTATCTTGGTAAAACTGGAAAGTCGCTCCGATTCCGAGATTTTCTGCACTAGTTCGCAAGTTTCTCTTCAAAATACCAATATATTGCATGTGGTAAATGATTTGGCGAATTGGTTCCATTTTTCCAACTCCTGCTGCCGACATACACCCCCAAATCATAACGCCTCCACCTCCGTGTTTCACAGTTGCCACTGTATTTCGCTCTTCCAGCTCTGTATTGGGTTTTCTGTACACAATTACTTTGCCATCACATCCAAAAAGAATAAATTTGCTCGCATCTGCAAAGGTCATATTACTCCAAAATTCAGCGGGCTTGTTTATGTACGTTTTTGCAAAGCTTAATCTTTCCAATCTTTTTTTTTAGAGATATGTGGCTTTTTTCGCGCAACTCTTCCCCTGTAGTCATTAATTTTCAAATAATTTCGAATGGTTTGGGGTGTCACATCTATATTTAGGCTTTCTTTAACATTTTTGTAGAGAACCGTTGCATTTGTTTTTGGTTCTTTTTTGACCTGGCGAACCAACCAACGTTCGTCTGTTTTACAAAAGACCTTAGGTCGACCACACCTTGGATGATTTTCAACCGACTTCTAATCTTTCCATTTTTTAATAATATAATGAAAAGTTGTACGTAACCTATCAACTAATTCGGCTATTTTGCTTTCGGTTAATCCACTTTTAAAGTACTTTACGATGAAATTTTCTATTTCTTCAGACACTTTTTTCTTTTTACGACCAATGTTTAACTTCACTTATTTACTTTAAATTTCGCTTTAAAATGGATTGCTGCAAAACAATGTTAAGCAAAATATTCAAACCGATCGTTATTTTTTACCGTTAATCATTGGAATTCGCTCTTTTGCGTAATTGTCGAATATTTTTTTTTGCTTCATTATTCGGGGTAATTTAGTTTTTGTGCTTTTTTGGTTAGTTTTATTGTTTTTATTATCATAAAAGCCATCAAGTTACAAACTAAATAAATTATTGCTCCAAAAAACACTGATTTTTGATCTTTTATTAGTTTATATTAAGGAATATTTCAAAAATAAATTGAAAAATGCATATGTCGAATACTTTCTTTGGCCAGTGTATGTAATTTTGTAAATTTGTAAAGGCATGCATGCAAAACTGATAAACTTTTAATTAAATTATGTAATTTTGAAAGCAATATTTTTAGGCAATGTGCAAATTTGGCCTACTTTTTATACATTTCTTATGTTTGATAATATAATATTATATACTACTATATACTAAATACATAACATACTATCATAATATACTATAATATTAATATATTACAATAGTAATTAATATAAATCCTACCTTTCATCATTTAAAACATACTTATATACATCCAAATGTATCATGCACATACACATGTATGTACAAGTATGTATATATGTACACCTTCACACATTCAAATCTCGATATTATCAGTAATAACTTGTGAGCGCCCTGCTCTATATGTACACACATATGTGCGTATGACATTGCCACACAAAGAATGCATACACAAACTTACATACATATAAGCGTACACATGTAAAGTATGTCACCACCAAAAACTACAAGCATTGTTCTACAAAAATAACAATCGTCTCAAATGGCATAAACAGCATCAAAAGTCAATATAGCATTCGAATTGCCGAATAAAAATTTATAGTAAATCACACACCAACAACATTTTTATCCATGAACGCAAGCGCCACTGGCAACTTCGCTTCAAAATCATAAATTGAACAACTTTCTGATGTTCCTTATAGAAGTAAAAAGTGACAACCCCGCAAACCATAGAAAAAAGTGATCGGCACAGCTCGAATTTTCTAGCAACAACACAATGTTGTGACGCTTTGTCGTTGCGTCAGTCCTTCGACGCATTGACTCTTTGACAAGAAAGCAAAAAACGTGAGCTGCGGTTATTGGTTTTCCGTGTCAACTGAGATTTCGCATGAAGCATAGAAAGTTGTATGTAAACAAATTTACAAACATTATTGCGTATGGTTCTTTCATATATGTTTACTTGCACACATAATTATACATGTATGAACATACAAGTATGTACGACCGCTTGGTTCTTTCAAATGTTATCAAAATCATGACCAAATAAATATATAAATATATTTTTCATAAAACATATGTATATTAATTAAATATTTAGGTAATAATACAATCCTTACTTTATTATATATTTCAAAAGATTTTATGAAGTTCATCATTATTCATGAAATAAGTAGGTCAATTTGAACATAAGTATTTATTTATTTAGAACAATATGTATATACTGAATATTAACACTGAAAATGCTCAATTCTGCTTTTTTTGATTCCCCTAATGTTAAATGTGGTGAAACACGCCCATCGTTTTCAGTTCCCCTTCGAAAAATTAAAGATTTTGATAATGACCGCACTGTGAACATTCTGGTTACACATGGCTGACTAGGTCTCAAGAGAAAAACATATGTATATTTAGATTATTAACCCGATCGTAATGTAATTTTGTATCAAAAAGCAGTACTATAGGACAATACTAAATTCGTTTGATATCAAAATAACGAAAATACGAATTTATTGGACATTTTGGCATATTTCCTGAAATATTTCTCAGTATATTTAGTCCTATAAATTAGGAGAATATTTACTGTTCGGTTCCATTTGAAATTAGTCTTTCCTTGCTTCTTTCCAGTTAGTTTTGTATTAACTTATAAACCACATTACATTTTTGTACAGAATATTGTAATTGGCGGTATTGGTATCAATAACTTAATTCAATAATATTTATTTTATATATGTATATTCAAAAATTTCATTTACAGGATGTAAAGCAACGAAAATCTGGATTTTACATCGACATGGTACTCGATTGCCAACAGTAAACACTATAAAAGCGGCTCCAAGATTAGAAATAGTAGGTTGAGAATTTATCAAAAAACGATTGGGATTTCAATTACATATGTTTTTTTAATAGCTTCGAGATGAAATCGTAAAAAATTACCGCGTTCGCCGCACAAAACCAGACACAAATGCACTCTGCTTAGAAGACCTCACACTGTTATCCATGTGGAAGTGGAATGCTAGTATTAAAATTGATCAAGAACAGTTTTTGACTCCACAGGTATATTGTAAATATAAAACATAAATGTTACACTTTTTAAGGAGTCAATACTGCTCTTCATAAAAAATTTAATTTTTTTATTCTCTAACAACATATTGCACACAGTAAATCCCATTAATAGAAAACTTATCTTGGAGATGAAACTAAATGATTTTATGATCTGTACTATATATAAATTTAATCCATTCCTAATTTCGTAGAATAGCGACTACATAGTGACATTTTTAAATATTAAGTTTTTCGAATACTTAAAAGTACTTTCGGAGGTTTCATTTAAAGCGAGACGTAATATACAGACTAAAACCATTATCTGTGAAACTTACGAAGCATTGAGAATAAATTCACATCTCTTCCAATCGCACACTCCGTTCATCTTGAAGGTAGCTGATTGAAGATTTGAGATTATATATTAGTGGATATATGTACAAAGTTCCATTATCGTTGCTTACGGAATAGCAGAGCGGATGCTAAGGACTATATTCATAGGTCATGGCCTGAAAGAACGAAACTATGTGTAACATTTTAGTAGATTGTTAAAGCTGAAAAATGTTAACGCCACCTTAGCACTTTAAGTTAGAGTTGATGAAATAATTTTTTGAAAACTGGATGGAAAGTTTTTCGAACTTCCCAGAAGCTAAAGTTAATGTTGGGGTTTTGTTGGTCCGCAAATTAGGCATATGTATATTCGCTAATGAAAAATTACCAACGATGATGGATCATACTCAAAAAACTAGCAGGAGTTTCTGAACTTTTAGAAAATAACAAAGCTAAACACTAAACGTTTATTGATGTGCTAAAAAACTATAAGGCCAAGGGCTGTAGAATGCATGAGTAAAAATAACACGAAAGCGTATGTAAACGAACAAGGAGAACTTTTTGATTAGGATATTATAAGCTTCAAACAATGGTATAAAGGCCAATACAATGAAAATATATTGTAAATTTAAATTATTGAGAAACAGTACTTTTTAAATTTACTTAAATCTTAATTTTAAATTCAAAGTAAATGTTTGTGTTGCCCGTGATAATAATAATAAAAATTAATTTAATGCATGTTATTAAATTTGATCATATTTTAGGGATATGAAGACCTTAAAGGAACGGCAAAAACTTACCAAAGGTTATATGGTGATGTTTTAAATAAAAATTACAATAACAGCTATTATAAGGTACTATTAATACTTTATTTGTCAGAAACTATAATTTAAATAGTTATATTATTTAATAATTATTATCGATTTAATAGTTCCGTCACACAGACACACAACGCACTACAGAAAGTTTTAGGGCTTTTGTGGAGGGTCTCTTTGGTGTTAATAACAATGTACAACCAGAACCAATACCTGAACAGGATTTGCTTTTACGGCCTTATGATTATTGCGAATCTTGGAAAGCTCACGACTACAGCGGAATTTTTTCTGAGAACTATAAATTCAAGCATTCAGCTGTTTGGAATAAAACCATTGAAGAAATCTCAAAACGATTGGGGTATGAATATTTTACTTTGTTTGTTTTATTTGTAAAAAAAAAAGCAATTCAATAAAAGTGTTGTTGTTAATATAAAGTATATATAAGTTTAGACTTTAAAAAGTTTGTCATATAAAGTGAGGCATCTAAAGTTTAGTTCTTCCAATATTATTTTCGTCCTGTTCAAATTAGCGCTAGTGATTTTCATGCTTTTATCACGGTGAGCATTGAGCAGATATATAGAGTGCGTTTGAGATGGCAATTTTGTCTGCACATCAGCAGAGTATCAGTAACGAAGTGTCAAATATTCAAAAGATATGCTATACTATGTAATTACTTCATAGCTCGAACACACCATGATTCCACAGCTAATTAGACAATTGTTTGATCTTTATCACAAATATTTATAAATTGAAAATACATTTGAAGTAATTTAAAAGGTATATCCAGCTATTGAAAATCAAACATAACTGTTATTGAGTTTAGCAATTACATAAATGTATGACCTTTAATATCATAAGATAGCCTCTTTGCAAAATTTTATTATTTATACCACACTTTTTAGAACTATTAAAATCCACTTCAAAATCTTCAAATTTATTTTTTCTTCGGCCGTTTTTTGAGTTTTTAAAAAACATTTATTAATCAGCGCCCATTTATATGAACTAATAACGAACGACGAAGTATTTTGTTCAAGCGGAACTGATCAACAAATAATTTAACAATTTGGCATACATGTACATAGTATATTGGGAAAAGATATTTCAATATTATTATTAAAACATTTTTTTATGATAAATATTTTACAGATTTCAATACCCTTTGGAGTCAAGTGATGTTGAACTGATGTGGGACATGTGTCGTTATGAACAGGCTTGGCAAGTTGATCGCATAAGCGCATGGTGCGCTGTAAGTATCTGTATACAACTATTTCGAACTACGATACGATTTTTAATTAAAAGTTTTTATGCTAACAATTTCTTTGCTATTCCTCGGCTATTCTTTCCTTACTTCTTTTATTATACAATTTTCGTTCGACTCCTAGAAATATTTCCTTAAATTCTTATGACTTTCAAAATAATTTATATAATGTTTGAAGCCTGCTGAATTTCACCCTTACTTAGTTTTTTGATTGCTTTTACACTATATTTTACTTCATTTTTTTTTTCTACAGGTTCTTACATCTGAACAAGTTACCGTACTTGAGTACGAAGACGACATGAAGTATTATTATAAACTCGGCTACGGTTATAAAGAAAATACTCGACTTAATTGCCGTGCTGCTCAGGATATGTTAACGCATCTAAACAGCAGAGCAACACCAAATGTTGTTGCTTATTTTGCGCACACCAGTGGAGTCCAGACCCTTCTTGCTGCATTAGGTATAGCAAAGGATAGTACCCCTCTTACTGCCGCCGATTACAATAGATCCGACTACAAGTGGAGAACTAGCAACTTGGATCCTTTCGCATCAAATTTTTTTGCCGTAAAGTATGAATGTAGCGATGAAATACCCGATAAGGCTATGTTCTTTCTCAATCAAAACGCTGTGGAATTCGACTGGTGCGATGGTAGTATGTGCGATTGGCCAGAAGTTTTAAAACAGTATGACTTACTTTACACTACTGATTGTAGCAATTTTTACTGTGCGGATGCAGGTGCTGTTTCTACAGTAACGTCGTTATCGTTGTTGTTATTTTGTACTTCTACAACCTTACGCTTAATCTATTAACGTAAAAATAAAAATTAATGACAAATGTTTTATAAATACTTACCATTCTAAACCTAAGGGCATACCCTACTAATTAAGGCCTAAAGCAAAAGATCTTTGGAATTATATTATTGTACAGTTGTTTTTATTGTTCATATTATCATCATATGAATTAACTACATACATGGTACATGACTCACTCACTCTCAGACACCCTCTTAAAAGGCTTCCAAGTTAAACAAATGTTCGGGGAATTGAGCTCTTTGAGGGCAAGGTGAAGAAATATTTATAAGGTCAATCGAAGGAGCAGTTATCTTCTGAACAGAAGAACTAAGTATTACTTCCAGGCTTGGAAGCTTCGTTAGAATCATTTCGGCACTTAAAAGAATGAAATAATTCTTCGTAATGCCCAAGTTTTTCGGTGAAAGTTTCAAGATCTCGATCGATTTCTCTAAAGCCATTTTCCGTCTGGACTACACCAACAATAGCTCGCTAACTACGATTTTTTAAAGATGATGAAATTGTTGCGGACAACACTAAATACCTGTGATGGGAAAAATAGGTTAACCAATAAATAATGGAATGTATGTAATAAAATTGAATCTTTATTTTTCTTGATATAAAGGCTCGTTCTAAGCCTTTATCTAACGCCTTAAAATAGTTGTAGGTATATATAACAAAGAAAATTAAGTTCGGGTGCAACCGAACATTGTATACTTTTACAACTTGCAAGAATCAAAACCGGCTAAATACCTCCAGATGTTAGCAATATTAAACTTTGTAGCCAAGGGTTTAACTTCATTGTTCGACGAAATCGTAAATAGATAACAATCAAATTTGGTATGATATTAACTTATTTTGAAGGTCATCGGTTATTGTACAGGGTGGCTCACGAATCGTACAACAAAAGCAAACCGTAATAACTTTTTTCTGTGTGAGTAATCGACTTACTTTTTTAAATTAATTTTTTTTTTTTAAATGTATACTTGGGGTACCGACAAGAGGGTTTGCATAATGCAGCGGTACCATGCTTTGCAGTCCGTCATTTCCGTTAAAAGTAGATGGACCATTATAAGGTTGGTAAACATGTTTGCCGAATTTAAAACTATCGCAAGAAGACCATACCATTGAGATCCGTATGTTTGTGTTCTTGCATCGTCAATTCAGGCAAATCCAAGAGTTTGGACTCGCAACTTATCAACGCAAATTGGAGTTAGCAGAGAGTCATTACCACGGATAATTCATGATAAGTTAAACTTGTTTCCATACAAAGTTCAAATAACGTGCCGATTAAACCCTCTAAATTTGCGTATTCGCCTGGAATTTTGCTTAAAAATTATTGTAATGGCCGAAGAAGGCAATAATTTAATAAATTGACAGGTTTTGTCTGACAAGTCCCATTTTGAACTTAAGGGAAATATAAACAAGCAAAATTGCCGTATATAGAGTGAGTTACTTCATCTAGAACAAATCACTGTGTGCTGCGCAGTTTCATCAAAGTATATTGTCGGGTCATACTTCTTTGAAAAAAACGGTGTAACAGCAACTGTCAATGGGCACTGTTATTTAAAGCTGTTAAGACAGTTTTTTACTCAGAACTGCTCCGAAGACGTATCCCTTTCAATGGCGTTTGATTCCAGCAAGATGGAGACACTGCACACATAGCCAGACCGATTATGGCTGAGCTTCAACGAAAATTTGAAAACAAATTAATACTAAGAAACTCCTCTTTTCGCAGAAATCTGACTGAATTGAAGCAGTCCATTAAATCGATAATTGAGGCAATCCCGACTTCAACCCTTCAGGTCGCAATGAATAATTTTTTGATTTGGTGTCGCATATGCGCGGCTGAGCATGGAAATAATTTACGGTCCATAATTTTTAAAAATAATTAATTATATTAAATCAAATAAAATTTACTACACAACATAAAGGAAAAATAAATGTAATGCATTGATTAAAAAAGTTATTACGTATTAAGTGAGCCACCCTGCAGCTTTAGTGGCTTAGGAGATTTGTACATTAAACCTATTAGAGGGCGAGGCTCACAGGTGCTCCTGTACCAAATTACAGTTTTATATCTTAATTTAGTGCCTAGTTATATCTTTTTATAAACTTACAATTAATGGCGTTTTGTGGGTGTGGTCCGATTACGCCCTCCAACTAACTCATTCTTTCTTTTTTGGCAAGGAATATGTGTACCAAGTCTTATGACGATATCTCACTTCTTTACTCAAGTTACAGCTTGCACGGGCAGATGGACAGACAGACACTCAACCGGATTGCAACTCGTCTCGTCATCCAGATCATTAATACATATACAACCCTATATCTAACTCAATTATGTTAAAGTGTTACAAACAACCGTTAGGTGATAAAAACTATTATATTCTGTAGCAACACGTTGCACGAGTATAAAAATGTGGTATTTTAAAAAAGATTTTTCTTGTTTTCTCTTAAATTTATTAAACTTTTTCTGCAAATAAAAGTACATATGTTATCATCAGGGTTGCAAATAATGCATTTAAAAGTAATAGAAAAACAATTTATTCCCATAAACCAGATTAAACAATAAATATAAAAATTTTAATCCCAAAAACCGCAAAATTTTAATTTCAAGCATATAATTAAAAATTTAAAAAATTATTTGTTTTTAAATTCAAATTTTTCCGCGTTCATTCAAATCAAAAAATAATATTTCAAGTCTCAAACTTTAATCCCAAACATCTTGAATTAAAAAATGAAAATCTAATCTCTAATCCAACATCGGGATTAAAACACCAAATTTTTGAATTAGAAAGTTCGCAACCCTGGTCGTTATATGCCACATGATATATTCTTACTTTTTAAAACTTCGTTAAATCCAATATTAATTACAATTTTATTGTATTATTATTTATTTATAAATAATATTTTCCAAAATGTTACATTAGTGGTTGATGGAATTTTTACCATATAAATGATAACAATTTCTTTACTTTGAACATTAATGTTTGCAAATTCGAATGCCTCGTTATTATAATATGTAACTTCTCCATAGTTAGAATTGAAGAAATATATTAAATTCTAATAGTGTTTTCGAATTTCAATTTCCTCTTAATATAAGAGTTATGAATGTTTTCTAATTTAGAATTTTTGTATTTAGGTTGTTCTTTATGTCGTAAAGATTTATAATTTTTTATGTATCCATCAGACTTTTGTTCATTATAAAATTATCTAATTTGATTTCTTTTATTTATACATTTATGTTTTCTTTTCAATGATATGAATGATTAAAATATTCTATTGCTTTGCTAATTTTTTCTTTAATATTAAGAGATTTTTGTTCTATCATTAACACTCTAATTTTTTCGGAAATTGTGTTATGTAATCTTTCGATATCGGCATTGCCAGTTAGAATTCACTAAATGAAGATTTATATTTTCTGGTTTTAAATAATATTTTATGTTAAATTATTTTTAAAAATTCTTTCTTAATTATTTTCTAAGTCAAAAACGCTTATATAAATCTTTTTATTTTTATGTTTTACTTCCGTATCTATAGTTTTATGGTCTGTTAAAATAATTTGGGTTTTAAACCTATTTACAATAGTTTCCAAAATTGGGATGTGGTGAAGAAGGTCTTCAGATCGTGAGTGAGTTGTGTCAAGAGAGTTTTTTGTGCAAGAGAGTTTTTTGTGTTGAGATCTAAAATTGCTCAGCTACAGAAACAAAAATTTCAACAGCTAAGATTTATAATTACGATGTAATAATTTGTTACATTTTTAAATATTAAGAGAGAACAATAAAGTCTTTCTAATTTTAAAAAGATTGGTCAAATTTGATGGAATGAGAATTAAAATCATGACATATACGGCGCAATGGTTCGTTAAGTCCGAAATTTGATCTTTAGTAAAGGTCTAAACTGCCTCGAAAAGAGAACCGGGATATTAAATTTAATTTCAGACAGGAGAAAAGAACTTTAAACTGTTCCATTCAAGATTTTCAAGTATTGTCGAAAATAATTCGTAGCCCAAACAATAGCAAGTAGTTCTTGTTCGTTTTTTTCATGATCGTTTAACGTACTTAATGCTCGCATAACATATATGACCATTAAAAAAAAAGTTGTAAAACTGCGCCAAGAGCAGATCTTTTATCTGTCACGAGCTGGAAATCTTTCCTAAAATCCGGGTACTTAAGTACCGGCGACTCTGTAATTAAAATTTACCATAGTAACCGGTTACACTCAGTATAAAGTCTCTTTTGCAAAGAACTTACATTTATTGATTAGAAACTTAAAATATGATTTATGAAGTTTTTCAAGTACTTGATTTATGTCATTTATATATTCTTGGAGACTTGTACAAAAAATTAGGTTTTTAAACAGAGTGTTAATGAGCCTTTGTAATGTGGCAGACGCATTTTTTAGCCCAAAAGGCATTCGGTTGAACTCAAAATGTCCATATAAAGTGGAAAAGCAGTTTTCATCCGGTATTTTTGATCAACAAGAATCTGGTGAAACCCATTTGCCAAATAGATTGTAGTGAAATATTGCGCTCAGCCTAGTTTATCCAAAATATTTTCTATATGTGGTAAAGGAAATTTGTTGTCTACGGTTATATTATCTAAGCCTCGGTAATCGACAACAATCCTTTATTTCTTTTCACCTGAACTGTCTAACTTTTCAGGAATAACCCATAAAAGACTATTATATCAGAGAACGTTAATAAATAGAGAAGGCGCAAGTGCTAAAAGTACTAATTTGAGCTTTTCACAAGAGGGTACATCGAAAAATACAACTTCGAACCTTTAGAAATATACCACGCAATGATCGAAACGGGGAAAAGGCTATAAATAGACACAAATAATGTTCTTAAATGAATTATGTGCATGCTGATTAACATTTGCATATTACCAAAAAATTATAATTATTGTAATTTAAAATAATTCTTCAAATTATATAAGAGGATTTCGGTTAATGCCCCAGAATTTGCAATAAAATAAGTAACTAATGGATAAATTATACAACACATTTTTGTGCGTTGTGTATACAATATCTAATAAGCAAATGATAACAATAAAACAGTGGCTAAGCGGCCGCGTTATCTTTTGTGGTGGCTCAGGGCGTAAGCGTGAAGAAGTTAAGCCATTTA